CCTGAGAAGCCGTGCGATTTTAGTTTACTCACTCAAGTTTGACAATAGCCAAGGATTTCCTGCTTGTTTATAGTCTAGATTGCCCTGCACATCGTATCCACGTAACGTATCGTTTCATACCGGTTTTGGCTACCTGAATTCTCCAGGAACGTGGAAAGAACTGAAGCTACAATCCTCTGAACGAGGTAGCAGCACTTGCAAGCATTAATAAGTGTAGTATAGCCAAATTACCTATGACATAATCCTTAGAGCTCCATTATGTGCACGCACAAGCGCTCTATCTATGGTTTCAATTAGTTTCTTCCACGACGCAACAAGTCGGCTTACAATGCAGCATTAATTACTTGCTGTGGATGGACTTTGTTTGGACCAGTTAGATATCAGCTTTCTGTTGTCTGGATTATCTTGCTATTTAGTAGGTATTAGCTTGCTCAGTAAGTCAAAGTGACAATCAGAAATCTAGTTGCCAACCAACGCCAATTGACCGGGGAATTATTCATATTACAGGCTTATGCAAGAATCGGATGCTTGAAATTCCCGGTCAAGGAGATTCAGCGTCCCGAGAATATACGTTTTCAATCCTAAACTTATTGCGACGACATGGGATCCGATTAACATGTGATGCATCAACATCACACTTAGTCGATCCTTTAGGTCTTACCTCATGTGATGCGACTCTTGCTTAGACATGTGAAGTAATGTACAAAAGTGCAAAGAATCGCAGCAGGTTAACATCTTCCTGTGTGCCCTGTCTCGTTGTCTATAAATCACACTCGCTTTGCGACACACAATTCACCACTTTATACACACATTTAGCTGATTTACAGGGAAAATCTTCCTCACTGTTCTTTCATGCCGCATCAATATACATGCTTAGACTGATCCCCGTCTTGCGTTTGCTTGATGGTCGCTCTAATTTGGTTCTTCGGTTTACTCTACAGCGCCATTATTCTCTGCCGTGTAAATTTGTTTTCACTAAAGGGGAGGATTTTCGCACTTGGTACCTCTCGAGTAGGTTGAAGCTGCAAACTGATCCTATTCGTAGGCACTCTGTAGAGTTATGAAACTGTCGAATGAGCATCTCAGTGAAAGTGTGTGGTGAAAGACAAGCCTTGTGCTCAAGTAAGCATTTTCATAAAGATCCTCAATGAACAATGAATTTATCCGGGTTAAGAAGTGTTGCATTCCAAGTACCGTTGGATAGTTGGTGGGGATATCGACATAACATAATAATAATACTAATAATGACAACAAAACAGTTAGTACTTTGCATTTGAAAATAAGGACTTTTCGGTTGCTCCGCCGTAATCCTGCGAGCTGTTTAGATTCACAGCAGCCGCGGTAAACTCCAGATCTAGGATGGAGACGTATTGCTAAGAGCCAAATTGCAAGTGGATGAGCGCATCATTCAACCATCTTTTAAATACTATCGGTGCAGAGACGACCGATTCAGGGAGTGCATTCCACGGTTGACAGATACGAATGCAAAAGAAATTTCTGCGGCACTCAAGACGACTGTATTGATCTGCGAGTTTCAGTGAGCGGCCCCTCAGGTTTGTATTGCTGCTGAGTTGCAGTGAAGGGCGGCACACATGATGTGCGTCTCGCAGGATCAACTATGCCATACTCAGGTGGCCTCGTAGTCTGCGATAGCTTCCACGGAATACCCCCAATCGTTGCGGCCTCTACTGGTATGAAACATTGCGCATTCCCATTACGTTCTTAGCTGCCCGACGTGGTAGTTGCTCCAGTGCATTAAGGTCGTGTTTCAGCCATGGATGCCCGGCTTAATTTGCAAATTCGACATGGGGGCGAACGTCCGCACCGAGAATTTGTCGAAATATGGAGCTGTTTATTTGTCAAAACGCCCGTCACAACAGCACGGAGTGCTGGTTCCCAGTATTCGAGACATTTTCGCTTTGCCTGGAACAACCAAGTCATCTTGAACCAGGACAACCAAGTCACGTTCGAGAGTTGAATGTTGTCGTATATTCGTCCCTTGCTGGTCTAAAAAGATACGCTGATGTCGGAGGGAAAACACCTTTGTTTTACTGACTTTGAAATGCAGTAAGTTTGGGTTGGCCATTGATACACCTTATCTAGGTCACTCTGAAGCAGATTCTGGTCGGTGTTCGCCTGGATCCCTCGCCAGAGCTTGATATCGCCGGTGACCTTAGGGTATTTGTAACAACTCCCCATGCAAGGTCATTAATAAACTCCAAAAACAAACGTGGACCTAGAACTGAGCCTTGCGGCGCGCCACACACGATTTGCATGGGGTCGGATAAAAGAGCTCCGAACTCTGACCACTAATTGTCATTGAAGTAAAAAGTTGGCGATTCAGCTTAAAAGGGTTCTCGATCCCGTAATGCTAGAACTTGGAGAGTATTATCCCATGGTCAAGATGATCGAATGTCTTGGAAAAATTTAGGTAGATCACAGCAACGTCTTCTCAAGGGCAAGCTGTCCCGGTTCAACTAGTGCTTGCGATTAGTAAATTCGTTGTACATGACCGCTGCTGACGGAAACCGTGCTGCTCAAAGTTAATGATGTTACAGTTTCCCAGATAACACACCAGTGCATCGGCAACTATGGATTCTATGACCTTAGATAGCATAGGAATTAGGGATACTGGGCGGTAGTTGGAGGGATCAGCTCTGCTTCCACCTTTGTGGATAGGGGTTATTATTGCAAAATTTCACATAGCAGGAACTTGATTCTGTTCTAAGTAGCGCTGGTAAAACTGAGCTAAACTTCCTGCCAGTTAGCTTGCCGCTACTTCTAGTACCTCTGGAGGAATGATGTCAACACCCGGCGAGCTGTGTTTGCGTAGAGACGTCAGCTGTTGCAATAGAGCCTCCGCAGTAAAAGTGACGTGGGTTAGTCCTGGGGAGGAGACGACGAAGTTTGGAAGATGGCTTGCTGACAAGACTCTCTGAAACCTGGGGGTATATTACATCCGCTGCGCGTTTGCTGCTTCCACAGCCGTTCTCGTTGGGTCAGTGCTAGGACTGGGTGATTTCTGTTACACTAGTAGTTTTCCGAAGTTTGTGGTCAGTGTGTATGATTTTATTATTGATGATAAACTGTTGTGGCTATGTGCGAATTTTTCCCTTAGTCTCGAGGCATGCTCTTTTGTTGAGGATTCTCCGGGCTGGAAATCATTGAAATGACTCACTTTCGCCACTAGACCCAACAAAGTTTTCGTGGAAAAGTAATAGCATCTTGAGTATTGAGTTCGCCGCCAACGTGGGCTTGCATCCTTTTCGGGTGGCATTAGCATGTTGCCCTATTATTCTCTCCGAAAAACAGTTGATAATTTACAAAGTTAGATCAGAGGTGCTATCCTAAATGTCGCGTTATCAGACCAATTAAACACGCAGTGGATCAGGGATTAATCCTACTGTATACAGAGTTGAGTAATTGGTATGAGATTGTTTCACTGAATGTTTATATAGAGTGGTTTATGCAAAATCGGGCTACATGAGTCAACAGCATATATACCAAGGGTATTCTCTTAACTGAACCAAATTATCAATAGGAAATTATCAACCGCCATGAACCAAACATACACAGCCGTTGGAGTAAAAGTCCGTAGTGAGGCGGTTCCGCTAATGAAACAACCACTCAATGGCAAAATGCTGATCAAATCCGAATCTTTCGCCTTATATGATTTCACCTGCAGCTATGGCTCACGAAATATCGAACATATGAGCAGATGTCTTTCGAGGCGGAGAGTAGAACATTGACAACCTCACTGTGCTACAGCACTGTCATGAAGGTCTACAGCTCAATTTCAGAGAAGCGGCTAAATGTTGCAAAAGGTGTCCTTCAGAAGTTTGCACGTTATAGGGAAATGATACGTTTAACTCTCAGAAATGGTGTGCTGTCACTGTGGAAGCCATTGAAGCTAGAAACTCTCGCCGGAATGGTGCGACCTTAGAGCATCTATGAAAGTACCGAACCCCATGGCCAAAGATTGTTCAGTTGACATTTAGCTCATCGATTTTTGGCTGTGTTCAGGATTGACCACCGAGAGTGGAAACAGCGCGTCCTAACCGTGCTACTTTAGTAACGGCTGTGTAATTCAGAATTGTATTTACCTGACGAGAATTGTCGAGGATAAACTTTGTCCAATCCATCTAACAAATCTGAGAGACAACCACCACCACGATAATTCGTGGGAGCATTATGAATACTCCAGTAGTACGAACAGGAAGATGGCACGTCAAAGGTTCCACTTTCAGCGCAAATGAGCTGCGCACAGTCATCCATAAATCCCCGCTAACCTGCAATTTACCCGAACTTGGCTAGGTAATTACATCAAAATAGTTAAAAATGTGGAACGTGCGGTTGGCATGTTCGCATAATACTCGGTTTTTTCTATTTACACCTGGACTATCTTCGTACTTATCGTGGACCAGTACCGAAGATGTATTGGTTAGGGAGTTCAATATGGTTCCCGTCACTGGTAAGATACATGCAAATTTACGAAAAATGCAACGATCCCATCCACCCCTAATGGCTATAGATTGTGTAGATCATAAGGAAAATGACATCATGACATCATCTAACGGTGTGAGAAGTGTACATTGGGTAACACAATTTCCATAATTCACCAACAGCCACGTAAACACGAAGAGAGCTCACAAACGCCAAAAGAAAACTTTAGCTTGAACTAGACTTCTTCCTCCCATAGCAAAGAAATCGTACATACGCACGGCAACACGTTTCACTTGAAATGCTGGGAACGCGATGTAGTAAAGACAGGTAGCGGCACCGCTTGTTTATTTGTGGCATTTCAAATAGGATCAGCAACTAGACATTAAACTACAAATCTTCGTAAGAAAAGTAGGTAAAAGTGTTGCTTTTCAGCAAATCGTGTTCACAATCAATTGTTGCATAATGAATAAGCAAAACAAAAGCGTGCGTGTTCACAGTGTCCGCAAGTGAATCATCTGCTGCGTTTGGTTTGCACATTGCAATCAGTCCTTGCTTTACTATCCCGCAAGCGCTACAATAGAAGAAATGTTGTGAAGTGAGCAGGAGGGACAAAGAGTAAGTAGTGGATCCATTCCAAAAGCGGCAATGATATAGTACGCATGTTAATGACGGAAACTTGTTTGCAGCGCTCGTAACGTCGGTGAAGCTTCGATTGTTCTACAGGGCAGCACACATCGTACAATTGGGCTTTTTGTGCACGCCATAAGTTTTAGCGACTTAGCTGATCCTGACATCCCGGTGAAGCTAGGTGATGGAATCTGCAAAATGCTCAACATATCACGTGCACATGTGAGGCAGACAGGGGAACTCACCTGTTTGCAGCGATTCGTTGCACAGATCGTGCGTGCAACAGTAGCTTTTCGTCGTAACGTCCCCGTAGGTGGAAACTGAAGGCACGCATGGCCCGCGATAACACTCCCTTGCGCGTGTGGTAACTTGATTGTACTGTATGGTCTCGGTGTACTAGAAATCAGGCCAATGGAGATTGGATCAGGCATTGTGGCGATTGGACGTTTGTGGAAAAGACGAAGAAGGCAAAAGGATGAGCTAGGCGGTTCCAACCGCATATACACTTTGAGATACCAGGTTGACTAACCCAGCATGCAGAGTACAAATTATGATTCGTGGTCCGAGTTTGAGGTGGAATGAATTCTACTCTGCTCGAACTGATGGTGAATCGTCAAATTAGCAAATTTGGTTTAACCTAGGCTATCATCATAGAGCTTGAGCTTAATCTAACCATTTGTGAAAATGATTCTTGTTAGCTATTGCAATAGTTTGCACAAAATGACAGACAGAGGACTGGGTGGATAACATGAAGCAGAGCAAAAAATGCTAAACGTTAACTTGGCGTCACTTACCCTGCAAGAAGCACAAGGAGTAGATATGGTTGGGCAGATCTTGCCATCGCGCACATAACACGAGAAGTAGCAACTAATAGATGGTGTAGGATTCTGAGCTAGAGGAAAAAAGATGTGAACATTGCTGAAGGGTCCTCCAGTCGTCCTTGTAGTCACGCGGGTCAAAATTTAAGCACACATGTTCATAAATATAATACGTTAATGGCATCCGTTTTTCAGTGTTACATGCGCAACATGTATAACCATTGCATAAACAGCACCCATGCGTTTGTGTAACCATGGACAAATACATTTCACTCGATCCTTTCAAACCACAAAATAAGGATCGTGGAACTTACAAGAAAAGTTGGACAATTACTTACCAGCAGTTTGCTTGAATAATGCCAGTGCCACGAGCAGCAATATCGCCGACATTGGTTAACTTGCCAAATGCTACCTTGCCTGAGCAGCATACCTTGTTATATTCCTCGTGAGTTCTCATCACCTCTGAGGTCACCCATTTGTGAAGCGCGCAACCACCTGCAATTTTCCTGCACTAAATTGGACATGGTTCTCACTGTGAAGAACGTGTACTGATCGTGAGGTCAGGTAAGGCACATACACTTCACTATGCAGCCAACGTGCTCAGTGGATGCACTCCAGCTGTGTGCATGGGAACCAAGTGTCCCGATGGAAAGTGGATGCTTCATCGTTTCGAATAGAAAGTGCAGTGGTTCTGGTTGTAGCTTCATCCACAGGCACACTTGTACACGGATGAACCTCACTGATTATTCACCCCTCCCGACGATAACGTTGAATTCAATTTAATTTCACCAAGGGTTTCTCACGCGAACCTGCTAGTCGGTATCCTACTGCATGGATGTCTCATTTATCTAACAAATTGTAAAATTCATTGCGAATTTGCACTACGCAATATCTGGAATGGTAGCCGATTGATCATATCACACTTAAACGCACTTACTCATGTCCGCTTGGATACATCCTGTTATGTGGGCGCCCACTGCTCTCAAACGGTTCAGTTGCATTTTAGTCATATGAGACTTTGTTAAACATCGGAAGTGCGGTAATTCACGCTCGCAGTATGCTTAGCACGGAAAACGATATTAAAACAATCTGGGTGCATTCTGCCACAGGAAGTGTCATATATTTCGGTTTCACTCCTGACTTGTTGTCTTTAAATCGGCAGCTATCTTTATCGCTGTACATCAGTCTTACATTAGCTGCTTTGGGCATATCATTTTTGCCAGAATAAGTTGACCGATTTAATGTTCAAGCAATTTCCAATCTCAAGGAGATCAGGCTGCTCCATCAGTAACGTAGGGCTTTATATTTGAAACTTACCCGCTTTCCTGCCTGGTGTGACCTGGACTGCGGACCCTTCATCCATCACTTCGGTTTCTTCTCGCTTATCCGGACACTTTTGATCTTGGCTTACCAGCAGGCATTCATTACTTTATTTGTCGGTATTAGTTGTTGTTAGGTGGTTGGGGTTGGACTTCCGGCCACCTATGTTGGCTTTGTTTTCCATTGCAGGTCATCAGGACCATGGCGACCAACTCTGCGTGTCGGGGTTCCGGAAGAAGTTGGATTCCCCTATGCGAAGGAATATCACATATTTGGCGGCACCACCACTATGCGAAATATCGTTTTGCACAGGAATCAGCCGCCCTGCTGTGCGCGATCCTACTGTGTTTGTACCGGGTGATAACTTCCATATTTAGGAAGCTCGGATGCAAAGCTAACAGACGAGCGTAGCCCACAGTGACCACAGAAAATATATCATGAATTTTCGCAGCAACGAAGCCACCAACAAACTTTTGGTTTGCGAGCTGTCACAGGCTGTCCTACCGGATGATATATGTTCACGTCTACGAACGTTTTACTCGGTTAAAACTCAGTCGGTCAATACCGCTTTAATCTTTTTGTGCTCGCCAGCAAGTATGTTCAGAGAATGTACATGAATACGTTGCGATCCTCCTAAAACGGGCCTCAAATGCTTCTCCGAATGCATCACAACCAAAACTTAGTCAAATCATTCACCAAATTCTTGTCGGCGTGGATAAACCCGAGCTGCTCTCCGAGTTCAGCAGTAAGCCTATGTGATCGCTGGCGGAAGCTATCGACGTCACAACTAGCTACAAAGGCTTAAAGAAACCCCATTGGACATCAGAATGCATTAAGTTGCTTCAAAATGTCCAGTCACTCAATTTATCCATGATAAATATTTCAATGGACATCGTTCTACTTCAACTGTTCTCGACGATAACAAGAATGGTCTCTATTGCAGAAGGTCCGGCAACACCATTAGCCAGGTTAATCACACCTTCACCTTAGTCCCCACTGCCAAATGTCCGAGAATGTAGTTTACACTGTTGTACGAGTCAGATGATTCTGGTTAACAAGTCAACCGCTTCCGGCGCAAATCTGGTAGTCCCTCCCCAAATCTCTGGGTTGATACGGAAAAAGCCATGTGTTCTCTAGTCCGAAAACATGTAGTTCCGGCAGATGCCATTGTTTTAAAGGACAGTTCTGTTGATTTGGTGGCAGGTAGCAGGATAGGTATCAAGTTCTCGGGTCGGACCGCAGCAAGCATTAGGCTAGAAGAGATGTCGGTGGCCCATCGGGTTTTGTCATAGACGACATCTCCTAGGACGTGGTTCTAACAATTGACTTTCTTTCCCGTCTGAATGACAAAGTTGATTTAGTCAACAAAACCTAGAATTCGCCAATCACATGCTACCGTTTGATTCGGTGAATCGCTCTGTGTTGTCCTGCTGTACAGTAACGGTGACCTCCATGCAGCAACATAGTTGACCCATTTATGCCGAATTACCCCCATTAAACGATAGGAAGTTGGAGGAAACTTTAACCAAATACCAGCGCGTTTTCGCATTGTCAGAGGACGAATTGGGGAGATGCAAATTCATATAGCATGTTATAGACAAGGGCATCCATTACTAAGTCGTCAACCTGCTAGCCGCGCACCGTTTCAGTTCCAGGCGGAATTAAAACTCATCATCAAAGACCTGGTACGACATGACATTATTCAACTGTCAAAATCGCCTTGAACATCACCCATCGTTTGCGTCAGAAAGAGAAGCGAAGCACTAAGGCTTTATGTACATTCTCGGAAACTAAATTTGGTTACTCGAAAGGACTTCTTTCTGTTCCTAAGAATGCTTGGTATAATGGATTCAATCAAATACTCACCGTATAAATGTCTTCGATAAATCGGCAGATCGAGCTACACCATGATGACCGGGGTAAGTCTGCGTTTATTGTCTTGTCCGGTCGGTAGAATTTCAGACCATACTCCACTGTTTAGCAAATTCTCCCCCGGCTTTCCAGCTCCCAAGATGCAGCTTTAGGGGAGTTGATAACGAAACACCGTCTAATTTATCTGGACGAGATAATTATGCACGGCAGAATCCCGGCAGAACGCAAGCAGAGCCTTTTAGCCGTGTTGGATCGTCTATTGCAACTGCGGTTAAAACTTAAACTCTCAAAGTGCCAAATCCTAAGACAAGAATTGGCCTACCTAGGTCACTCCGTGTCTCGAGAAGGAGTGCGCTGTGACCAGGTGAAGGTCGAGCAGGTTCGCTCGTTGCCGGTCATAGGATACCTTGAGGAATTGAATAGTTTTCCGGTCTTGTCTCTCAATATCAGAGCTTCGTTCGGAAGTTTACCAACATCGCTAGCACATCGGCCGAACTTCTGAAGCCTGACCAAAATTTTATTGGGGGAAATGCGCAACAGAAAGCATTTGGAACACTTCTAAATGCACTGGGTGACGCACTGATTTAGACATTCCCTGACACACCCATCCAAGAGCCCCTTCGTTCTACATACCGATGCAAGTGACACCTACATGGGAGCTGCACTCTCGCAATGCGCGGCGGAAAGAATGGAACCAGTTGTCGCGTATGCCAGTAGAGGTCTTTCGCGAAGAGAGCGCTTCTATTTAATAACATGAAAGAAAGCTCGTGCGCATGTGTATTTTAACCAACAATTTCGGCACTCGCTGCTCGAGCTCTAGATCGTTGTGCGTACTGAGCATCAATCCTTTATTTGGTTTCAATGCTTTCGGAATCCTATGGGACAGTTAGTCCGCTGGCATGAGCTATTGCAAGAATACTGAATACTTTGGTATAGAGCAAGTAGAAATGAATTCTCTAACACTCAGTCGAAATATGGTGAAAAGTTTATAAAAATGGTCAGCCGTGAATATCGTTACCCTTCTCAGGTAACATTTAAAATACCTGACTCACGTATTGCAGGACTCGCAAAGGTTAGGTGCCATCGCAGGTATGCAAATGTTGTCTGATCCGAATAGTGATAAAATATAAATCTAACAATGTTTTAACTGTTGCCAGATCTTGCCTCCATCACACGTTTAGGTAAACTGTTCCAAATATTTATCACTCTCCGTTCGAAGCACAGCGAGTGGGGAACTCGCTTCACATCCGGCATGACAAGTTTGTGTCTGTGTCCGCGTGTGCTGCATGGCCCTCGTAAGTGCAGTATTGGCCTCAAAATGGAGAAGTCACTGAGATATAGTATACGGTAGGTCATAATGAGATTGACTCGAACCCGGCGGTAGGGAAAGATGTAGAGCCCTGGTTTCTCGCACAGGACTTCATACATTATGTCATATAAACTCGGGATGAGCCTGGTACCAACGTGTTAGACCCGTTCGATCATTTGTGCCTCGCCTCGGGTAATCGGAAAGTAGGCGGGTGAACCGTACTCTAGCATTGGTCTAATGATGGAAGAGAAGAGGCGAGCAGCAACATCTTCAGACTATGAGTCGAAGCTACATTTGAGCTCCCAGTGCATGCACAGTCCGTTACGATATAGCCTGTTCGTGTTGTCCACGGACTTCAAATTGTAGCGTGAGGGTACACATAGGTCCTTCACGGAGGGTGTGGGATTTAGCGGTTGGTCGTCAAGGGTGTAGTTTCGGCTGTCATCATCCTTGCCCGGGCTCATAAATACAGACTTGACTTGGTTGACCGGGAGATGAACTTCTGCAGACCATGTGGATAGACGGTTGAAGTCTTGCTGAAGTAGGCCACGGTCACCAAGAGAGTCAGTTTCTCTTCAAACCTTCAGGTCGTCCGCAAACAAGACCCATGGCGACAGGAGAAGCTGAGGTACAACGTTGATGTGGCTCAGGAACAAAATGGATCCCAGCCCAGTGCCTTGAGGCACGCCACTTGTAGGGGCGTACCAGTCAGTTAGATGGTCGTCACCTGTACCGTCCACTTTCGTCCAACAAGAAAGTCACGGATCTACTGGTGCAGTGAGCCACCGACATCATACTTCTTGAGTTTGTGAAGGAGAACTTCAAGTCTGACGTTGTCCAAAGCTTTACCGAAATCGATGGATATCATGTCGACAAACTTCCCCTTGAT